TTCTGGTTTTACGTATTGAAAAAGAAAGAGAAAGAATAACAATTAGTAATCAGACCCCTTATATATAATAAATGTAAATTGATTAAGTTTGTGATTGCCCATTGTTAAATCGTAACCTACATAAATTAATTTGGATCGTGACTCCGTGACCACGTGATATCTCCAAGTCGAGCTCATAGCCGCAGTAACTCCTAACGAACGAAGTAATATATTAGTAAAGTAAAAGGAAAAGGCGATTCAAACACCAAACGGAAATAAGAAGACAATTATCTAAGCACAACACTATCGCTACCAACCCAAATAACCCTAGTTACTCGGACCAAGTTATTCCACGCATCGATCGTTGCCTTACCAATATTAGGGTTTGGTGAAAGTAGTTATAGTGTTCAGGTTGATGTATTTTATTTAGTGTTGGCATTTTGTGTAGTGAGTTATTCTAGAGTGACCCCGTAATATTTCCGACGCAACTCACTAAGTTACACTTCCACAGTGTATACGCTCTTGCATAGAATAAGCCACCAAGCCACTATCAACTACCATTTTAGTATACTTGATTAAAATATTTACAAAGAAAGTCGGTTACTGCTATGAAAATAGAACGAAGAAGAACTAGATACATAAATAATAATATAATAATAAAGAATAAAAACTATACTAATAAAAAAATAAAAAAAAATTTTATTCATTACAATATATAAAATCTTGCTAAAACTCTAAGCCTTGACCTAACCCTAAAATAAATGAACCTAAAATTTTTTCCGATTATATAATATCTGCGCCCTCGATTAGTGGTTATGCTGCGACTTTCGATTTTCTAGGTGGCGATTTTACCCGGTCGTCATTTACTATTTAAAACCTGAACATATCATAGTCGGCCCGTGAAGGTGTTGGTCGACCCTCGGCCCGTGAAGGTGTGGGTCGACCCCGGCCCGCTCGCCCGCTCGCCCGCTTGCCGCTTGCCCGCCCGCCCGGCCGATGTGCCGGGTTATCATTATTATTGTCTGATCAAGAATACAGGCTAAAAATGATCATTTGTTCTAACGTGAAATTTCTGTAATTGCATTGTAAAGTATCTTTTAATAGAAAAAGTTGCATATAACAATAAACATTTTGTATGTAAAATCATAGGATGCAATAAATTAATTAGCTAATACAAAAAAAAAATTTCGAATGTTGCATAAGCTTAGAGTAAAGGGCTATCGAAGAGGTGTGGAAAGACGTGGTCGAGTTCAATGGGTTTTGGTCAAAATCACGTCAGACAGCGACAAAAAAATCCCGACAGTTAAAAATCCCGACAGTTAAAAATCCCGACAGTTAAAAATTCCGGCAATTAAAAACTCTAATAAAAAATATTATAGGCCATAGAAAACCCTACCCTTATCTAAAGTGACCTAACCCTGAAGTTAATTAAATTATAAGAGTCTATTTCACCTTGTTGAGATTTTCGATTGTCGGGATTATGACCTGTCAGGATTCTGTTTGTCGGGGTTTTGACCCGGGGACACGGAATTTATGCGATAAGAATTTGTAAATTATGCGTGCGGTATGAAATTTCGATTTGCTGATGATTAAAAATTTAAAGTGCGATTTAATAATGTTTACTAAGCAATTTATCTCGTAAAAAAAAACTTACAATTTTTTAAATACTGCGCTCAACTAAGTAAAAACTTATCTTTTCTAATTATTTATTGTTAAAAAATACTTTTTAATAAAAATTTGTAAATATTGCGTTCAACTAGACAAAATTATCTGTCATTGATTTATTTATTGTTAAAAAACACTTCTTTTAATAAAAATTTGTAAGTGTATCAGAGTAATTAATCTAAAAATATATTTATTTATAGTTTACGATATTACCTTAATTGTTATTTTTAATTAAGTATTCGTTGTTGTTCTTTTGAACTATTAAAAATAGCAAAATTCTCTTTCTAATTTTGAAGATGGATTTATTTATGTGTTTTAGCATACTATAAATTAATATTCTAGAATATTTATAAGATATTGGTCATGCAACGATTAATATCTTCTGTCGTAACGAATGATTGGCTGACATGTGCTGTGTAGCGGAACGTTTCAGCCAATCATTTTCTCCGACAGAACAAATTTTGTGATATTTATCATCGCATAATCCAATATCGATGTTTTGCAATTATGATCATGATTTTTGTGCTTACGTAATAACGTACAAGAAGAAAAAAAATCTATGATCATAAGAGTTTGCACAATAACATAGCTTATTATACATTTTAAAATATTTTAAACCGAGTGCACATGATACTAACGTAATATAAGTGAAGCAAAATTATGTGATTTAGTGTGATTTTGTTTAGTCACACTAAATCACATAATTTCCGTGTCCCTGGTTGGATGGTCCTGGATACTTACTGCGGAGATAGCGGAGGTTTAGATATGTATTTATTACTTATTTGCTTATAATGAATGTCAATTCAACTCTATTAATTTATTTTTTTCACTTTCTCTATCAGTTGTGCAGTGGCGGGTTTTAATGTTTGTATTAAGAAATACCTTCGCTCAAAACGATTACCATATTTGTGTGGCGATAATGCGCATTCTGATTACCTTATTTAACAAGAAGCATTTCTTCACAGAAATTTCAAAGATATTAACAATTATGTACAATATATAAAGCATAATAAATTTAACAATATACATACCACAATTATATTGTGAAGATAAACACACTAAGAACAAAATAGATTTACAGAATCATCCAAAATTACAGTTTGCACTTAACTATTTTAAGTAAAGATGAGAAAAGGCGAAAAAAACACTAGTCATACCAGGTTGTAAAAAGAATTCTCGAAAATGCCCAAGTTATCCATTCATTATCGAAGAGCTAGTCTTTTATGCACGATTCACATACATGGTTAATATCTTAAACGGTAAGTTATTTTAAATACTGTACACAACACCAATATACGTAATGTAAATTCGGTTTTAAAAAATTTTAACACCAATAATATTCAATCGTACAGCTAGAACTGACAAATATAGACGTATTATAATACAACAAAATCACATGAAAATGCTAATCAGATTTACGTATTCGGATACACCTTTCACTTGCCACTTAAACATTAGGATAACTGCGCGACGTAGTCGCGCTAAAACCAGGAACATAATACCTACAATTAGATTTAACACTACAATTTGTATACTGCTTTTTAAAAAATATATAAAAGAATAAGCCCCAGTATTACAAAATCATTTACTGTAAGTTGGTAAATATCATTCTTGTTTTTTTCCGTTGTAATAAGAAATTAGACCCTAATCCCGTCAATTGTTGTTTTCCATTTTAAACTATTTTAATTTGAATAATTTACATTTTTCTATTAACAATAATAAATAAGCGTGTACTTGTTATCGCTCGGTAATAAAAAGTGAAGTTGAGTAAATCCAGAAATTCAATTATACTAACTTATTATTACTATATAATAAACTTATATCAGTTTGCCACTTTACAATCATATGTAATAATCCTAACCAAGAAACCCCTGAAGCTAACGAGAAAGTACAGGCATTACACAAAACCAATCTATAAAAGGCTAATAGTAGTCATCAGCTTTAAGATTTTGCTTTTGGTTTATTTGCCAATAAATTACTGCGTGACGTAGTCACGCTAAAACCAGAAACGTAATATGTATGTACATACTTTGTTCCAAATCGATTTAAATTTTACGCCAAAAAAAAAAAAAAGGTTAATGTTCCATGCGGTCAGACTATTCTAATTGTTTAAAAATACGCAAAAATAACAAATTAGATTATTTTCGGTGAGCGATTTTAAGTTGGGGTTTGATAGATAGTGTATGTACGACAGCGATAATCATATGAACGTCATCCTAACATTTCGGCACGGAAAAATATAATAAGCTAAATCTATATATAAAGACCACGTAAACGTGGACAAATAATTATTTCCACTTCCTCAAGTATAAAACTTGTTCTCGCATTCTAATAAATGATTATTTCCCCTTCTTTAAGTCTAGTGTTTGTTATCTTATTTTCCATTCGCACATTTATATATGTATATGTTGTAAGTAGGAACGGAATTTGGAATTTCAGGATTAGGGTTAGGGTATAGGTTTATATAAAACGAATTCTACCCTAAAATCATGATTTTATTAAGATTTCGTTCACACTTACAACATATACATAAATGTACTCCAGCTGATAGCAATAGTAGCACCAACGTTATGATTTAGCAACATTAAAAACAAATCAAGCAAGTTATCTAATACATTTAACGAATCATCACCGCAAATAGCAATACGAATGGAGAATCAAACTTCAAATTTGTTAGTAAATGATACGGAGTACGTAATTAATCTGGTCAATCAGTTTACGAATTAGTTTAAGTTTTCAGCATCAGCTGTGACAATGAAGACATATTCTGGGACGAGTTTTCATAATAATTTTTATTTCGTTTGATAAGTCAATTAAATCGATGATTAGTTAAATTTTTTAAGTGGTAGATTAATGATTCGTCCATTTTACTATTAACTAGTTATGGTAAAAGAATATAAAACATAGCAATGTCATGCATTGTCATGCCAAGGATTAATCTTTGCACATAAAAAGTTGATTTTTTTTCTTAAATTGGAGCATAAGCGTTATTTATAAACATTTGACAATAGTTTCGAAGTTAGTATAAAGTTGAGGTGAGTCAGTAGAAACATACAAATTTTCTTTATCGAAATATTTTTAAAACTCTGAATAATAATAAACTTAAGAAAAAAAACTTAACAAAATATTTTTACGTACGAGTTTTGGACGTAATTTAAAAAAAAATTTGTTAAGTTCCTGTTATTATTCAAAATTCAAAAGGTATTTACTTTGAAAAATTGTCATTTCTACTGACTAACGCCGTTTAATTTTTTCTATTTAACTACTTTTTCCATAGAGCTTAATTCGTTGTCCGTTGGATACTGAATTTGATAATAAAATCTGTCAAATATCCATTAAATTGACGGTAAAATCTGTCAGTATCCGTTAAATTGGATAGCGAAATCCTTCGGATATCCGTTAAATTTGATAGTGAAATCAGTCGGACATCCGCTAAATTTGATAGTGAAATCCGTCGGATTTCCATTAAATTTAATATGAAAACGGATAACGGATTCAAGTTCTATTTCTCGTTTAATTTTTCAATTCTTCATTTTGATTTTTTGATTAATTGCCGGTTACCAAAGTATCATTGAAATTCAGGTAAGTAAAATTGATATATTAATCAGTCGCTATTCCTCCAAAGTGAAATAAAGCACACCTTTTTGTTTGCGAAAAAATATTAATATTAATTTCTATTATTTTATTTTATAAAACGAAAGGTTAAGAGTTAGCAATAGAATGTTAGGAGTTATATTGTATTCGATTTCCTTGAAGCAGATGATACTTGCCGTATTTCTGAATCAGTCACAATGAACTACGGAAACGTGGTAGTAAGTATATTTTGTATCATAAATTTTAGTGCATCATTAGTAGGAAAATTTTTGAAACATGAAAAACAAACTACATAAATACGTACGTACTTATTGATATAATAATTGGCTTGTTCTAATAAGAAATTATTTAAATTAAAAGGTTTTTAACATTTATTAATGACATTCGTGTTTTTCGATATTAAGGTGAGGTTTTTTGTCCTTATTTTTATTAGTAATTTGTATAAGGATCCGTAGATTCTTAAACTACATTACAATAATTGAGGCACAGACTATAGATGGAATATATTCTATCCAATTTATCTGCAAAACCTTAAAACTCACTTAGCGTCATTCATATTTTAATATTTATTTATTAATATTATCCTTAAACGGTTATTTTAACTTCAAATCTGCTAGTGATATAAACTACAATCAAATATTAATCTTGTATAATTACAGATTAATCAGAAAATTGCCGTTTAAGGAACTGTCTTAATATTATTATAATACAAATAATATGAATTGGAAAAAAAAAAAATAAAAAAATAATGATCGTTCTTATGCTTTAAACCAAAATCATATTTTCCGACATAAATTACCCATGGATAAACATAACTTATTATTGGGGTGATGGTGACGTAGGAGAAATAGGTGACGTCGGCTCAGGTGTAGAAGGTGTAGAACCTAGTAAGTTTTAATTAAAAGGTAGTATTTTAATTAAAGAGAAAAAAAAAACAGAAGGAACAAATCTCGGTTGACAAAATTTATATCTATATATTTACGTGGTTTTCTGCCTCGTTTTTTATTTTGAGTACGATCACACTTAATGCCTCTTTCTTTGCATCTTCTACAAGGACGTTCGGTCTCACATCGTTGATGAGAAGTTTTACAATTTTGACAAGCGTCTGTAACATTCTTATGCTTTCGTAGACCATGCGACGGTTGAGAACCATGTGCAAAATAATCATTTGTGTTGGGAACATAATGTTGCGGGTGAGGTGAGGCGCTTAATGAAATTGTCTGAGAGTCAGATGAATAATCATCCGTCATTTGTGAATATGAGCTGTAATCACTTTCATAGCTTCTTGACAACGGTGAAGTCGACGGAGAAGTCACTGGGTAGAATTGGAACCATTGAGATAAGAGTACTTCGTTATCAACTTCTGATGTCTGCGCATAATTAGCATTAACGTTATAGGGAGGAAAGGGACAAAGAAGATTCTGTTGAATATTCTGTTGAATATTCTGTTGATTTTTCGTCATGGCATTTTCTAATGAATCATCTGCTTCATCAACTTGAATTTGAGGATTCAATCGAGGATTCGATTGTTCTATAAGAAAGAAATTCGAGTTACTGAATCGATTATCAGTTTCATTAACTGATGAATTTTCGTAAAATTGTTGTGCGAGTTCCGAAAAGTTGCAGTTGTTCATTGTTATTTTAGATTGCCTTTTCGTTTCTTTCTTTTCTTTTTTTTCTTTTTTTTTTTTACGAGGAGCAAGTAGAAAAAAATCCCTCATTTTTATAAACAATTATTGTTTGACAGTCCTAATTCTCCGATGCATAGAAATCTTCTATACCCCCGGAAAATTTAGGAAAATTTAACGTAGGGTTACACAATCTTTTTTTTTTGGGAATGCGAGCTTTTCGAGTACTTTCGATTCATTATGTGTGACGTTACGATTGATTCTGGAACAGAAACTATTAAGAAATGATCATCAAAACAAATTACAAAATCGAATATTACTTTTCTTGTCTTAGTCGTTCAAATACGTATGACTCCTTCTCTTATCTTTATATTAGATAAATTAAAACCACAATGATAACGTCAATTGCGAAATTAACTAGTTATAAACCTATAAAAAATTTTCCTTCATGAATTTAAAACTTTATTTTTTTTTCAGGTTGTACGATCAAGTTTTTGGTTTGGATTTTTAAGATTATGAAAAAATTGACAATATTTTTCCGAAAGGAAAACTACTAAACAACACCTAAATCTTCAAGCGACAAACCAACTGAGCTATTTTATTTATGGTATATAATTACATATGAATTAAATAAGAAACAATAATAATAAAATAAAATCTTTATTTATCTACATTCGAGATTCGTGCGGATTGCAGTGTCGTTCAAGTATATAATGTTCAATAAAATTAAAATTAAACAATTGAAAATTAAAAATTAAAAAATTGAAAATTAAAAAATTAAAAACTGAAATTAAAAAAAATTAAAAAAAATTGAAATTAAAAAATTGAAATTTGCTTGCGGTGCGGTGGTTATATAAATTAGTTACGCTGTGATGGTTACGTTATACGACATAAACTGCTCATAATAGTAGCTCCGTAAATGTATACTATACGTCTCTCGGAATCCACGTTAAATCTTTGAAATTAACATAAGTCATTTTGACATACATTCTTATTATAATATTTATTCAAGTGCTGTGTTCGGCGACTATCTCTTCTCTTTCAACTGTTTTTCTCTATTAAACTATGCCAATTTTTTGAATATTACTGCGCATAATTGTAATAATATTTTTTGCATTCATTTAATTGGTCGGGCATCGCCGACAATGGAATTCTTTCTCCTTGTTTTATTTTTTTGCTTATCTAGTTGTTCTTGGATTATTTTAGAAATATGCATACATGATTGTTTTAAATTTTATTGTGAGACGGCATTTCTCAAAGAATAATGCACAAAATGTAATAATGACAAAATTTAATAAAAGAACAATGGCAGCATTTAATAAAGATAAAAGCAATAATTAAATTGTAAATCAAACCATTATATGCTTTCATTTTTTAACTATTCATATAATTATTGAAGCAAACGAAACAAGTATTAAAAGCTACGTACATTGTAGTGGAATGAACAAGCAATAAATATATTGTTAAAATCTAATTTGTTTCACGATTAGCAGGACATAAATGTTGAATAAAGACATAAATGGTAACTAATAAGTATTAAGCATGCATGTTTACGTAAATTTGTCTTAACATACATAAAAATGTCACCAGATCAAAAATTGCACAATATGAAACCGTTCAAATAGATGCGTTGATCTGCATAAGTTATATAGAGTCAAGTACGTACATACGTACATACGTATAAGGTCAAGTATAGTGAGTCTGTACTGATTTTGGTCATAACTGATACGTACGTATCTCACACAAAATAATCATAAATTATAAATGCGCCATAAAATTTAATAATTCGCATTCGTATTAAAATCTTTGCGGCTTCCTCTTTAGGGCGAATAAAGTATTCTCTAATTTCAAACATATATAAATGATGTAATATATCGTTTTTTTTGTTTTTTTTTTTACTTATGTTCAGCTATACATGACCTCTTATACGTACTAGATAACTGCGTGCATATGTACGTACCTATTTGTTAACTATTTTAGGTTTTGAACAAAGATTTATTTATGTGTACGTAATACGTACGTAATACGTACAATGAATTACTATACACGTACAATTTACATTTACACAAAATACATTTTCGATATTATCACAAACTCGTAAACGCACAAGTGAACCAAAAGTTATCCATAAAGCTTTGTTCCAGGGTTTTGTACTTGAGACAAAGTCCCTGGAAATGTTATAGACACTATTTATTCCGATTGTTAAAATGATCTAAATACAGTATATTCTCGGTTCATATTGAGAATGCAAAGTCATCTTAAAAAGTAATTGCCCATTTTATCCATGTAACTAGCATACGTATAGAAAATCATGCGTTATTTTTGCCGGTGATCATACTTAGTAATTATTTCTAGAATCAAAAGCTTTACATACGTAAATTCTACGTATTTAAACTATTTGGTATATAATGATATTTGTGATCTATGTACGTACGTACGTACGTAGATGATACCTTGAAGTTCGGGTGTGCTACTGCGCAGCACTTAGTAACCTGAACCCTCATTTCAAGCTGAAATGAAATGAAAATCTGAGACATATGATAAATTAGATTCTGTTAACAAAACGACACTTCAGGATTATAATCTATATAGTCCTAAAAAATCATTTAGTTGGTGTGCATTACAAATGTGGCAGTGGTATACTCGAACCTTGGAATCGACCAGAGCAGCCCCCAGAATACGGATCGATAGCGCAACCACACCCGCAGCTAATAATATAACAATCAAATTGTTGTACGAACAATCATCTGTATCTATTTAAACCCTCTAAATAAACAATTGTACTGATTAATGACTTTAAGGTTTGTTATCGATTGGTTATTATTATGCTGCGGCTGCGCCATTTATCCGTACTTTAAGGGGCCACCCTGGTCGATTCCGAACTTTGTGGGGCTACTCTGGTATCGTCATCTATGTACTGTTAAACTTCCTAAAACTAATTCTGTCAAAGCTGATAACTCGTTATATCTATTAAAAAATCGATCCATTATGTTTGTTTTATAATTCAATTTGAATACGTAACTTGTTATTTTCGATAACAATAAAATAGATAATTTTATACTTAAATTTTTTTAATTTCTAATTTTTTTTGATAATAAGTATGAGGTGAAATTCATCATAATATGTTTTAATTATTATTATTATTACAGAATCTATAGAAAATTTTGTCATAAATTTTAAAGCTAAAATTAATCTTTATGGTAAGGGTTTAAAGCTAAAATTAACATTTAGGGTAAGGGTTTAAAGCTTAAATTAGTGTAGTGATTAAGACTTTTTAGGGTGTTTGACATATTTACTTAGTATATCGAATAACTATTGTTTTTGAAAGTCATATACCTGGTGAATTTCACTTTTGATGAGTGCTAAAATCGTTTAAAATTTATTTATGTAATTATAAAAAATAACATTAAAAAACTAGATTATTAATAAAAAACATATAATAAAAAACTATAATTTACATATTTGTAGTTAAAAACACTGCTGTAATAAACAAATAAAAACACTATTGTATGCATAGAATATAGTTTAAAAAGACTTTATTATAATTTTAGCCCCAAATTAAATACTACAAGAAATAAGTTTTTTATTAGATTTATACAATATATACTTTTCATTAATAAGACTTGCTAATTAATTTTTGATTCTTTTTTTAATTTTTTGCTATTTTATACTATTTAATTGTTTTTATTTTATAACTATAATATATCTTATTTTTAATTTAAGGATATTTTTAACTCGTGCCAGTGGTTAAGAATAACCAGTACGCTATATCTCAAAAACTGCACTATGAAACAGGGGTCAGGTAGGTTAAGTAAAAATGTTCAGAACCCCTAAAAAACCTCATGAGAACTAAGATCGGGACCTGATACCCGATCTATGATGTTTTTAAAAATGATATTTTATATAAAAACCTCTATTTATTTTAAAGCAACACCCTAACACTAAGTTTTAATAGAGGTGGTTATTTCTAACCAATGGTACAGAGAATAATAATTCTTAAATAAAAGCCACATTTATTTAAATTTTAAAAATTAAAAATTTATTACTTGGATCTAATGTTATTTTTAAATATATAATCATAATAGTTTTTTTTTATCGCGGTTTTCATATTGATGTGCGTTTTTTGGCCAAAGATTCAAAATACATATATAATTTTCATAGAATTGTCGGCTATATCTATACTCACTAAAAATTTTTTAAATCATCGCAACCGGACAACAATCAAGTGATTGTTCAAGTGATTGTATAAGCGTGCAGCAATTTACAAATTTGATCGATATGCAAACCGCGATAAAGAAAGAATGAATCTTAAATACGGCTCTGGATTAGACTTGCATATACAAAAAGTTACTCATTAGTTAATTTGATCTATTATTAATAATCAAGAAAAATAAGCGTAGGTCCCAAATAGCTAAAAGATCTTTGACACAAATTTTGATTCGTGTTTACGATAAAATCCTCAAAACTAAATTGCTTGACAATGATAAATCATAATAGGTAGAATAATAATTAGAAGAATTAACCATCTATAATAAGTAAAAAAACAACGAAGCTCGAACCTATCTTATACAATTTCGGCACCTTTTGAAAATTTTCAGTTTTACTCGTTAGAATTTTATTTAACTTTTCATCAAAATCAAAACCTTTATGTATCGCCTAATAACTATGATCTAAACATATTAATCTTGAGAACAGACTCACGAGATCTAAATGCAAAAAAAAACAACGTTAATAACTTTTTCTTTTTAAAAATATTAATTGTGTATTGATTTTTTTACTAGTATAGATAGATTTTGAATGTTTTGGTGGATTAATTGGCAATGTTTTGACAATTTTATCGGCATCTAAGAATTGTTTTTTAATTTCACTATCATCAGAACTTTCCACGGATTTATTCCATTCATTAAATTTTTTCCAAAGATCATGAGCATTGGGCCGTTTTTCTGGATTTGAATCCATGCATTGTCTTGCTAGTTCAACATAGCACTTAGGAGTTCCATAAGCAA